CCCTACCCCCACTCCCAAAGCTTGGTTTACACAGGCAACTCATTTGTAAGTAAAATGCTTCTAGACATGATGAAAATATCACGTTTTCCCCTTTAAACTGTTTGGTATGTCAACTTAATTGCATATTTTAGCTAATTAAGCTTGAAAGGTATGGATGTGATACATTCATATGCTTCCTGCATGTTTTAGTGCCTGATCCTCTTTCTGTTAAGTCAGTTGCAAAATTCTGCTTGACTTCAGGAGGAGCTGGATTAGATTTTACACAAGAGAACCAAATTGTTTTGCTAGGTTAAGTGAAGGCAACAATATTGAAGTCAACTTCACTGAAGTATAAAATGAAAACAAAGTAGTTTTGCTTTCTTTTGCTAGTAGTGAAAATGGTTCTTTTTATCTAAAAAAGCTTGGTTAACAGCAGCTGGATCACACTGGGCTCAAAGAAACTTTCCAGTTAGCTAGTGCAGTTATGTTAGTTAAATCAGAGCTGTGAAGTTATTTTGTCTTTTTTTTTTTTCTGATTGCAGATATTTTATTGAGTCTGTTGGAATTCAAATATCCTATTTAGAATTTAAAAGAAAAAGGAAAACTGGAAACATTTTCTAAAACTACAGTCATATGTTTGGGCAATTTGTAATTTAGTAACTTTAATGGGTTTTACTTTGTTAAAATGTCCACAGTTTAAAAAAAAAAAGATTTACTTTATTTTGGGAATTATTCCAGAAACTTCATATTGTAAAACCATAGTGACCAGTACTTCAAATGTTTTCTTAGAGAACAATGAAACATTGCGTTCATACATGTGGAAAGAAATGAAGCAGAATTAAAAATTAAAGATGGACCAAATTTCTGTCTTCATACATTCCACTTTGCATTTAGATTAGTCTGTTGCAAAGCCGTATTTTTGCATTCTGCATGTATGACATCTGGTGATATTCAAAGAATATTGAAAATCAAAGTGTAGACTACTAGAATACCATGACTTTTTTTTTTTGCATTATTATACTTTTTCATGGATAGGTTTCTCTAAAGCTCAGGGATAGTAAATGATACATTTGAGCAGGGGGGTGAACTAGCCAACTCTTGATGTGCCTTTCAAGCATGTGACTCTTAGAAAAATTAGAGCAATGTGACAAGGTTTATTTAATCTCCTGGAAGGAATTATTAATGCCAGGTGTTTTGTACTTTAAGTGCTGTATGATTTTATTCTTTCTTTGTCATATTCATGAAAGGGAGAAGGGTCAAGTCCCTAATGATCATTTGACAGTTTTGAATTTTAAAGAGTATTTAAAACAGTTAATTTGAGTAATGTGTATCTAAATTTCATGGGCAGTTGTCAGCTAGAAGAATAAAGATTTGCAAAGTTCTCAGCTGACCACCTGTAGTTATGTAGAAATCCTAGAAAACATTAGGGGTGTGCAAAACAAGCTGTATTCGATTCAGATTCAGGCCGAATCAGGGACAGTGATTCGATTCGTTGATCACTGTCCCAATTCGATTTGACTGAATCTGAAGATTTGATGCTGATTCAGAGGATCAGTGATTCGGCCATAGACACAGCTTTGAATGTTTTTTCTATATACCTTGAGGTACCAGGCGCAGCTTGTGAACACTGTAATGCTGGGGCAGATGGAGTGTCCCACAGAAGCGCAGGGGGGTGCCCCATGTGTTCAGCGGCAAACCCAGTGGTGGACTAGAAGTGCTTCTGGTTCACTTCTGTGTCTGCTGCTGAGTGCGCTGGGTATCCCCCCGTGCTCCCATCTGACACTCCATCCGCTCCAGCATCTCAGCATTCATGAGCCGCCTCGTACCTTGAGGTATGTAGAAAAAACACTTGAGCTGTGTCTATGTCCGAATCATCGTATCTTTCCAGATCTCTCCGAATCAGTTCGGAGGGTTTGAATATGATTCGGAGAGATTAAAGGGTCTCCCGATTTTGATTTGGATTTGGAGATTCAACCACCAAATCGGGCTGAGTCTCTGCTGAATTGAATCAGCGACCAAAGCTTCGCACAGCCCTAGAAAACATACCACAGAGATCTGATACATTTTTGCTGCCATTAAATTGTAGCTTGCTAAGAGTAAAAGGGGAAAAACAGGAGTTCCTTAAAATATTTAGTCTCGGCTACTAAATTTACAGACAAGACGCAGAAGAGATTTTTACGATTAGTCATAGTTAGGAAGTGCATTGAACCTTCAACTTCTCCCCGGAAACATTCTGTACTTGTATCATCTTCCATTAGCTTCATCTATTGAGAGAGTCACTGGTTTTTAGAAACTCTTGCTGAAACTTCTTTGTGACTAAAGCACATTGTCAATCAGCCCAATCCTCTCGATGCCAGCCAACTGTCCTCTTAATGCAGTGATTCAATTGAATGAATAGAGCTCCTGCTTTAAGGAAACAATTGGCTACCAGAAAGAGTGCCAGCTTGATTTAACTTTGCACAAGTGTGAAAGAGTTTTTAAATGGATACTGTCAACTGGTGTTGGCTTAGAGTTTCAGCTGTTTGAAAATTGTTATACTTTTGACCTGGAAATATACCCAAATGTATGTATGTAATATTTTATACTCAACAACTCTGTTGACAAGAAAGTTAAAATCCAAGAAACTATAGCTAGGCAATGTCCCTTGGGCAAACAGAACTGTATTAAATGTGTTCTGGCCAAATGTGCATGACGACTTTTAAAATGGTTGTTTTTTGGCTCTGGTGGAGAAATTGGTGAAGAAAATAGTGGATTTGTGTTTTAAGTTGTTTCTTCATTTTTCCCCAATGTCACAGCATGTGCTTAAATCACTTAGATGTATAGTATAAGTTTGTTCTACTATAATTTCTATATATATATATATATATGGCAACCAATATATGTAGAACTTGAAATATTTAACCAAATGCCTAATGAAGCATACAGTATTCTATAATTACTTATGACCAGTAGGAATGCTGAAATTAAGATGATGATGGTGGTGAAATGTGACCCTTTCAATATACTTGAATTTAATGTTATCGTTTCTCACCTGCCAAGCCCCTTTTATAAACTTTGTATGGAGAGTTGAGAGGAGGAGGTGTTCTGGCTGCTTTCCTACTGTATATCTGTATGTGCACTAATAAACCCAAGAATAGTGCTCTTTCCCCCTTCAAATGGTGGTTTGAACACAAAACTTACTCCATTGAAAAGTCTGACCTTCATGGCTTCTCTTCACTACAGTCTAAAGAGAAGAAAAGATAAAAAGATGTTTGAAGAGAGGACCTGTGAGGCAGATACAGTAGTTAGGAGGCTTGTGGGGTCATCCAAAGCCACCAAGTTGGGTTGAGGAGAAAAAGTAGGGAGGCTGAAAAAAGAATAAGGAAGAGATGCAAGAAGATTGATAAGAAGGAATCTCAGAGTAAGATGACTAATTTATAGGCAGCTGTAGTCTTGCAATCAGTTCAGCTACATGCAATGGAAAGAGCTGTCTATTAAATGATGATGCATGATTACTAATTGTAACAGTTGTAAGGGTACCTGTTGGTGGATTAGAATATAAATCAAGACTAAATGTTCCTTTTTTAAGGAGGGTGCTAAGACTAGAAAATAGAGTAGAAGAAGGAATTGGAAATTGGGAAAGAATTTACTGAGACCGTTAAGCTATCAATGCATACAGCTTATGTCCCTGTGTGTATATTGACCAAAACCATGAGTTGCATATTTTTTTTTCTCAGTTTTATAGGCCCCCTGCAGACAGCAGTGGAAGGTGCTGGAGTTTTGGTAATTTCACTGCTCTTGAAAATTGAGTAGTCAGCGGTTCAAAGCTTGTGATAGTTTGTTTATGTCACATTTGAAAGGATAATTTTGCAGCAGCAGTGGTTAGAACATTTTCTTTTTTAAAAGTTTAAATTCTGTGGCAATAAATGATACAAGCTCCTTGTAAGCCTGAACAATCTATTTCTCAATTGTGAATAGGCAGGTAGATAATTCAGAATGTCATCTTATACCCTTGTAAATACTGAATGGTAATTTTCATTAGCCTGATACAGAACGTGTCATAATTATCTGAGGAGTCATGAAAACAGAACAAGACCTGAAAATGCTGTATTTGGATTTAAAGAAATGCAAAACTCTAGAACTTTTGGTTCAGAGATATGATACCTTTTATTAGACCAACTAAGAAATCGCAAAGGTATCATCTCTGAACCAAAAGTTCTAGAGTTTTGCATTTCTTTTTGTCACAGGTCAACATGGCTACCAGATACATCCCTGAGACTATTTGGATTTAAGCACATTATTCAATTGCTCTTAAAATAATACAAGAGAGATTGATAATAGAATCAAACAAAAATGACACATTGAAACCTGAAAATTAATTCTGTTCTTTTGTAAAATACAGCTCATTTTCATGTTGAAGAGGAAGGAACTGTAATGGAAACGAGACAAAATTAAATGTCTTTTTACTGACACTGGGCTAAACAGGGTGAGTTTGGCTTTGAGTTTGAGTTTACATGAAATACCAAACCCACAGTTCCACACAACTGCTAAATATCTTAATTCAGATATATGCCAAATGTTGGTAGTTTTGATAAATTAGCTTTGTAACTTTCATGTTTTCCTTAATTGCTAGATACCACATAGGTGGTAGTAATTTCTGCCAAGTGCTCAATTTTTATCCCCCAGCCAAATATTTTAAAAGTAATATTTCCTTTCAGACAGGATCTCATTTACAAAATAATGGTTTGACCTTCACTAGACAATTAGCATTTTTCTTCTGTTGAAGCAAAACTGTTAAATGGCTCAGCTGCCACTATTACACATCCTTTTATGAACCTTTATCAATTGAATCATTTTTAGATTAAATGAAAAGGGGAGTTTTTCTTCAGTAGATATGGCTAACAATGTTCAAGGGTCAACTTTATGTAATTCTTTATTATGTTAGTGATCTTAACAAGGACACTATTCGGCACTTTTTTCTATATTTACAACTGTGGAATGCCAAAAAATCATACTGAAGTTGACATTTTTTCTGTTGAAGGTTTGCATTTCAGGTTTTGTGTTCTTGAAAATCAGAAAATACGTTGTTTCTGTAATTGGGTTGGACTGAGAAAGTGTATCTAGGACTTGTAGAGCTGAAAAAACTTGGAGTATTTATATAAAGGTATGTTTATTTCATTTCACCTGCCAACTTTTAACACCCCTCTTTTCTTACTATGAGCCATTTCTCAGAATTCTTTATACCAGTAGTGCCCAACTTTTTAGGGTGCCCAAGGGCTGGATAGGTAGTGCAAGTTCCCTCTGCAGGCCAGATCAGGCTAGAGGGCTTAATACAACACACAGCATTGGTGCAGAAGGGGTTCGATCCGGCTTTGTGGGTGTGGGTGGGGCACAGCCCAGCCCTGATCCCGCTGCTCAGGGGGTCAGGAAGCTGCAACCCTGATCTGGATACAAGGGGGTGAGGGTGTGGCAGCCCTGATCCAGCCATAGGAGGAGGGGTGGGGAGCAGCCTGGCCCCAATCTTGATGTATGGTGCAGGGGATAGGATAAAGTAGCCCCAGTGAGGATGTATGGAGGGAGGATGTAGGGAGCAAGTCCAGCCCTGATCATGATGTGTGATGGGGGTGTTGCAGGGCACTAAGGTGTGCCTGCTCCTTTAAGGAAAGAAACTGCCTAGAGAGAGGGCCCTAGGGGGCAGGCAGAAACCCCACAGGTGTAGGGTGCCATGGCAGCAGGCTAATGAGAGAATTAGCCTGCACCTGTACCTGATCAGCTGACTGGAAGAAGGCAGGGTCCTGGACACACAAGCCCCAGGGCTGGGGTTGGAGGCAGTCAGTTCTCTGACAGCAGCCAGAGGGAAAGGACTTCATGCATAAAAGCTCCACAGAGATGCTTGGTTGCCTGTCTGGCTACTGGTGAGACTAAAGGGCTCTAGGAGCTCCTAAAGTGCCTGGGGATAGGAGGCAAACATTACTGAGGGAGAAACTGGCCCTCTTAAAGATGCGGTATGTGGTCTCCAGTGTCATTGGTATTATTATTGTTAGGTTATAGCCCAGGGACTCATGTTTTTGTTGTTGTTTAATCCGGTGGACCGAGCTGAGGCTATTGGGGAGGAGGAGACCTCATTGGGGCACACTACCATGCAGAGCCCCAGTGCCAGAGGGCGCAGTTACTGAGGCTAAGGGTCCAGTGACAACAAGAGGCCAAACTAAACTGAGGCCTCATCACTAGAAACAATATCTAAATACCATCTGCGAGGCATGGGGTGTGGTAAAGGGGTGGTTTTGGAGCCACACATCTAGCCCATAAGGCTTGGGGTGTCTTGTGAGGTACCTGCCTAGCCTGGGACCCAGCAAGGGGTCTAAAAACCCTCAGGGTTTAGTGGGGTCCATCAGGACTGTGACTGTGTAGCAACTTGAGGGCAGCCTCCCTATCTACTATTTTAACCAACAAAGCATGGCAGGTGAGACTAGAAGGTGCACACAGGGCAAAGCTGGCATGGCCACAGGGCCCTAGGGGCATCACAGCCGTCTTGGGACCCTACCCTGTGACAAGGGGGAATGGTATTTGAACAGTCCTGATCTCGATACTCAAAGGACGGTGGTGGGGAACAATCTAGCCCTGATCATAATGAATAATGGGATGGGGCAGAGCAGCCCAGTCCCCCTCCTCATGTATTGGGGGGTAGAATGGCTCAAATGTGGATGCGTGGGGAGAGCAGGGAGCAGCCCAGCCCTGATTCGGATGTGTGAGGAGGGAAGGCACGCGGATCAGCTCAATCTGGAAAGGCAGAGGGTAGGCCTGGACCTGATCCCACTGCATGGCAATAGCACAGGTGGGACTGGATCCAGCCGTGCAGAGCTTCCACCACTCCCTGTTGCCAAACTTCCCAACCCATGGGGATTCCCCACAGGTCAATGATGTGGTTCTGGGACAGAGGTTGAGCACCCTTGCTTTATAACATATCTATTTCAGACTCCTTTGTGGCGCTTGATATTTGCGTCCAATCCTCCTTATATTGCGCGCACATCCTCCTGGCCTTGAACATCCTTGTGCGAACCTGCAAAATCTAACTAGATAACTAACGAAAAAGAATTTTCATCATAGAACTAACCAAGGAAAACCCATAACTGTTATTGAGAGAGAGGTATATTTACAACTTTTTAAAGAAAAGAGCTATTTCTCTTTCTATACTAAGCCTCAAAAGGAGGGAAAAAACCAAAAAATGTTTGTTTGTTTGTTTGTTTTATTTATATTTTCCTGGAAGTTTCTGGGGCTTTTCTGGACCCTCCTGTCTCTGCATATGACAGGAGATGCATGGTAGGTAAGGCATGATGAGATATGCATACTGTACATCTTAACATGCATTTTCTATTTACTCTGAAAATTAAGTGTTGTAATCTTCAATGAGCTGGGTAGATTGAAGTTGCTGATGTCAGAAGGTTGGCCCTGGCATAGAGAGATTCATTCCAAGCTGAAGTTGCAGCAGTTTTGTTCATTTACATCACTATAGGGTCTTGCACATATATTTTAACTGCTGATGCAAGCTTTGGAGCAGCAACTCTGCATCTCATGTTAAATTGCTTGAAACTAGTGTCTCCCCACAGCCTGTCTTTCTCTCTACTTGACCACTCTCCAGGGCTTACGCTTTTCTATTCTGAAGTCTTCATCAATCTTCAGCAGTACTCTTTCCTTTCTCATTTCCCTCCTTTGGGAATTATCTGTCTTGTGGTTACATTATCCTTGATGAGAGCACATGGATCAGCCCCAATCGTTATCTGATTTTTATGATGAGAAATCACTTTGCTGTACATCTTTAGCCATCCTTATTCTTCTAACTGCTTCGCTATCCAGCCACTGATGTTCAGTTGCACTTCAGAAATAATGGGCTTCTTAACAGCTTTATGTTAAATTCAGTGAATTTAACTTGCATTAAAGCAGCTTTGTATTAAGAAGTACATTCAAAGTGATGTTGTACACACAACATTTATGTTCCATAGAAGCCTACTCGTGTGTACATATCTGTGACATTAGACCACAGGCACTATGTGAAAGAGAAGGGTGTGTGTGCTGTTGAGGTTGAAGGGGAAAGCACCCCAGTTTGCAGCTTGGTTACTCTTGCCCTCTTGTAGGGAAGGAGCTATCATTAATATTCCTACTTGATGCTGCCCTCATCTGTGCGCAGGGGCTTCATTGTTCCTTCATACTGGCTTATTTAAAACACATGTTGACTGCTGTGAAGATGTTGCTTACTAACTTCACATCTTTCTTAGAGTTGAGCACTGAAGCAGTGCAAGTGGTGTTAATCTCCTTACTCCAGTTGCAAATGAGTGTGTTACCTCATCCTTCTGCCAGAAACTGGTATATGGATGTGTTTCTTTGTTGTTCCTTCCCAGTCTCTCTCTTTTGGGGAGGAAGGGGTAGAGGGGAGGCAGGGATGGTCCTTATCCTTTGTGTATAGCTCCAGTATCTGAGATGCTTGCTTTTGTTATTCACAGACTTCTAAAACAGAAAAGTAATTAAACGGAAATGAATCTTGACAGTTTCCATGCTTTTAGCTCACTGTGTGGACGAGACAGTGATGTTTAAAAGCACGTAGGCAGGTCATAGCTAATAGTATAAGACAACAAATAACTGCTCACTTGGAAAATAACATTTGTGACCGGCTTTTTCCATTGTAAAATGGCATTACTAAGAATGGCTTTTAAATAGTTTTAAAAGCTTAATTTTAAAATAAATCTATCTTGTAACAGATTTGCTACAGGGAATGTTGCGCTGTTTTCCATGCGTGACATAAATATTTTGAAGACATGTCATCTTTTGTCTTTATGGTGCATTTGTTTCCTAGTGAAACTTCTAATGTGTTTTTAAAAGGTCCCAAGGTATTTAAAAGTGTTTTATTGTTATATTGTTCGTCTTGAATTTGAAACATTCTTGTCGTCCTTTCAGCTCTCCAAAAATTGGTGGAAGAAATCTCTGAACAAGTCATTTAGCAAACTTGCTTTTGTCAAATCTCACGTATTTTTAGCTTAATTTTTTAAAAGGATATTAGTATTACAATATCCACTTCTCCTTCCACCCCCCTTACAAAAAAACTATTGTAGAAACTTCTTTCTAAAGCTCAACTTGCCAGTTAAGAACAAGAAAAATTGCTATTAGCTTTAAGTGAACATGAAAATAAGATGGCTTTAGGCACAAGAATTTGTAATACTGAGATTGTAAATCTGTTTGGTTTTTTTTTAATAATAGAGCATTGCGTGAACCTGCAGGATGCAAATGAAAGGAGAGAATTTTTAAGTCTGAACCTGTAAAGCTGGTTTGCAGTCATTACAGTATACCAGAATACAACAAATAAAATGCTTATGCCAAAGTGGAATGAAGCATTTCCCCCTTTCTTCATTAATTATTTATACTGATTCTTGCTGACTTCTTTTTCTCTCTGATTTGTAAAAGAGCTGGTTTTCTACAGCGATCCATAACTCTTGATATTAGAGAGTCTTACCCCAGCCTTGCCAACTTTTCTTCTTACCTATTCTATTTAGCTTTTCTCTTATTTGTCTTAAAACTATAATTTACAAAACCACACCCACACACTTATCCCAGGTTTTTATTTCTCAGAGACTAATTCTGTGTTGTGCTTTGTGTATACTCCTGTCTAGTTCACTCTCACTATTTGCCATACAGTCAGCACAACAGAATTTGAGCTTTGAGAAACCAGGTTACACAGGCAGCTTTTAGATAGCATGGAGCACCTTTTCTGATATAACAAAGATACTTGATATTAGAAATTAGAATGCATATCCTCAAAAGATTTTAATTGCCTTTTAGTTCTCAATTTTATGTTTTATTAGAACTCCTTGTTGACTTTAAGAAAAGGTATTGGTGCTTTTACCTGATGGAGTGAAGTGAAGGGACTAACCCACATATTTCAGTCATTCAAGAAAGTTTTCTCCTCTCTAATATTTTTTCCTATGTATTGTTGGGGCTTACATTAAAACAGTTTCAGCAACTCCTGTTTTGTTTTCCTTCTGCATTTGGAGACCTGAAGGGAAATTGAGAAGGAATAGGAAGTGAACTGTATGTGGTTTCCCATTACAGACAAGGTTTGGAGACTTGGTATACATAGTACATGCCACTGTAATTGCTAGTCCGGAGTTGGAAAGA